AAATTAAAAAGGGTTTTTTCCGATCTAATGAAAAAATAACCCTCATTAGTCCATATTTTAAAAAATATGTATTTTATGCTTCATTTCTTTTTGGGCCGTTTTTTAAAAAGCTCTTAAAAACCTTAATCAAACATTTAATTTACAAAAATATTTTGATATTTGAGGAAAATCTTTATCATTCAAAATCTGACAAAGCCATGAAGCTAGAATAAATTCATTTTGATCGATAACACGTATCGGCAAAATAACTGACATGAACGTTTACAGTTATTACATGTATGCGTTTTAGCAATAATTGATTTTTTTCTTATAATGTATACTGGGGATATTGCATGTATGTGCTATTCTACCATTGTTGACTGCATTTACGATGATGTAATATTTGATAAATCTAAAAATAAATTATTCGGAAATTTGCTCCGACGTTCCGCAAGCTCCGGAGACACAGAAAAGTACAATAGCAATACGCATAAGTAGTCTGTCAATAAGTTTGAGTAGTCAATGATTACAAAGTAATGAATGCGGATAAATAAAAAAAATATTTTCACCAGAAAACTTCATGTATATAAAAAAGTTAATATAAAATGGCGCGCGCACACACATTGCATGCGAGTGTTAATCCCACAAGTACATCATATATGTTTGCACGGAAAAATAATTTTTTCATTCAGTCTTAAAATAATTTTACAACATTTAACCCACTTTATTGTTCCCTGAAAAATTTAGTATTTTGTCGAACTAAATCATTAGAATCAAAAACAATGAACTTTTTCAATTATCAAAAATTATAGTTATTCACTATTCCAATTTTCTAATCAAAACCCAAGCATGTTCACCAACTGTAATAATTGTGCTGCACTGATTACGCGGAAAAACATTATGTTTACAGCAATAATACTATTACCTGATTATTGATGTCAATGCTCTTGTCGTTTGTTCGTGCAATGATCACGCCAATATTAACGAAAATAGTTACATGGATCTATTCCAATTACAAAGAAAAGAAAGATTTTAAACTATTAATTCCGCAAACTAGCACGAAGAGATTAAATGATGTGAAATAACTTCTGAAAAAAAACAAACATCATTTTTACAAATCGTCAGAAAATAAAAAAGTGAGGCATTATAGCACACTTAAATGCAAGAAATGGTTAAAGTCTTGTATACGAAGGTTTCTGCAAAATATTATTTCATATACTTATGTATTAAAGGAAGTTATTATATACTGATTAAAGAGGGTTGTATTCTTACACTTACCGGTGTCAACGTTTCAACGGTCCGTACTTGTAACGTTTAATTCGGGGATGCCGTCATCTTAGTGCAATAAGCAACTCTGAAAATAAAATGGTCGTTGGTTTCGGCGGCACGAAAGAGAATTATAGTGTTGGGTCCCGGCTCAAAATGCGAAACAAGAGCGGAAACATATGCTAGGCTCAGGTCGCTAATTGGTTGGACTGTTTACATTTTGAAGTCTGCAATATTTACTTAATTGAGACTTGATGGTAAACGGTATTTTTTTCATGTATGTAAAAATTGTTTGAAAACCAGTTTTATCGTTGTAAAAGATGTCCAATTTCTGTTTAAATATTAAAATATTTTTGATATAGTGTTTACATTTGCGTATCAAGTTGGGGGCAGGATCTGACCCAAAGCGTCTGTGCTATAACTCTCTTTCGGGTTGCCAAATTCAAATATTTATATTATACATTATAAAATTATAGAATAGTATACACCTCCTCTATTGTTTGTGACAGGTCTATATTTTTCGTATAGACCTGTTTAAACAAATGAAAGTCCGTTATGAGGTCTATCTTTGGCACGTGTACAGGTATGTTCTAGACAGACAGACCCGGTCATGAAATACACGTGATAAAATTGACCTGCCAAAGCGCAGACAAAGTAAAATTGAAATACAATCAAAAATCAAAATAAAATGTAAATGATTGTCAAAATGTTCCTGTCTCACAAAATCGGGATACATTTTTTAAACAATATAATGTTTATTACTAGGCAATTATTCTAGCATCCTATATATCAAATCTTTGAATAAAAATAATTGATAGCATATCAAAGTTAGGACACCTTTAACATTAATTTGATCGCGTCATTTTTCAAAGAAATAGTAATCTAAGTGGTTCTTCTATCATTAAGTTCACAATATAACAAAATGGTCGCTTCACGTTCATATCTTTGAAACCATAGGGACCCGGCACAGTGTTTGGATAGTGTAAAAAAGTACTTTTAGAAAAAAAATATAGTTTTTATGTAATATATAGACAAGGGGTTTAACTCGACAAATCGGCAGAATGCTACTAGTCCAGTATAAGTCTAAATTGCAAAGTCATTTTTACGTAAATCATATAAAGTTATATAAATCAATTTGGTTTTGTTTTATCGATTTAGTGCGGGTTGGTACAATGACATGGTTTAGAATTGCGTTTTTACACGTAGAAAATCGAGTGTTGACAGGTTGCGTGGTTGTTGTCGACCTAGCAAAAATACGATGTTCAATCCGAAATATTGATTTGTTGTTCAAAAACGGTTTAAGTGGGAACAATAATGCTATTGTCAACGTCTATTGATGTCATTGAGCTGCAAATTGATATATAACTTAATATGGTTTACTTATAAATGACTTTGCAATTTGGACTTATACTGGACTAGTGGCATTCTGCCGGTTTGGCGAGTTCAACCCCTTGTCTATATATTATATATAAACTATATTTTTTTTCTTCTAGAATTACTTTTTTTGCAAATATTATACATATGTAAGTATTTCGTGGTCTCCCGGGCATATTTAGCATCCATAAATAAATGAACCATAATGTTTCCATTGACATACAAAAATCTATACACGAGATGACAAGTCACAAACAGCAAAAAACAAAGGCGCAAACGTCCGGGGGGCAACTATCCGGGGTCAAATTTCCTAGAATCTGCACTAGGAAATATTATCAACATAATTATCCATTCTTTAAATGCCTTCCATTACAGACTTATACACTTTATTATAAAGTTAAATTCAAAATATATATTGTATTTATAAAAGCTTACCAGTATATGCGTTTTTTATTAAAAATAATACCTGTGCATAACATCAAAATTCTGATCAGCCATTGCTCAAGCCAATATAGAAATTAGATATCGGCCTCGTACATCGATCTGTCTGTTAAGGAAAGACCTGGTCACGAATTTCATAAACACCTCGAGCGCTACGCGCTCTCGGTGCCACATGAAATTCGTAACCAGGTCTTTCCTAAACAGAAAGACCTCGTAATCGGTCGATATCCTATACATAAAATAGGGAAACAACACACTGTGCATCTTTGTCATATTTTTATTAAAATGTCTTTTAAACCAGCGCTTGCAGACAGGTAACACGTGGGAAATAACGATAAAATTGCTCGAGTAGTCGAAAGCAAGTACACCGTTTGTGTACCGGCTGGATATGCGCTCAACGCAGAGCCGAGAACATTTCTCTAATTGCTTGGACAGAACGCAAAATTTACTTTCGATTTGAATTAAATGTTGATTTTCATATACCCATTTGCGCCTGTTGTCTACTTTTGTAGACACTAGCAGTTTTCAGTACACTAGGACCTAATTATGAGCGCACATTTGTTTATCATTGTTATTCTATACTTGTTGTCATGATAAGCGTTAATTGGACTATTTTGCTAGACAAAATGCAGACCACTACGTTATTTGCAGTGTGTTTTCAACAAGAATGTGATAAAAATTGCCTTGAAAATATTATTGAAAATGGCTAGCAGAAACAGGTATGTAAAACTTTATATTGTTTTTATTTTATATCATAAAGTATGATTGTTTTATATTGTATAATTATATTTCTGCTCAATTCCTGTTTTATAATTCAGAAATATGTATAAAATGTGTTATGACAGTCAATTTAGATTTTGTCTACAAAAGTAGACAATAGGATCAAATGGGTACGTTTTTATCATTATGAAAATATTTTGTTGTTTACAGAAGATACACAGTAAATGAAATCATATCAATGCTTGAGGATGAAGGTAACTTTGAAAGGGCAGATATACATGTTCAACCACCTCCTGTAGATGAACTGACAGATGAAGATAGTGCAAGTGAAGATGAAGAAGTAGGTTACAACAACCTCAGTGGACGTCAGTTAGACCAACAAGCAACAGCGACAGTTATTCGCCTAGATGGACGTCATGTTGTTGATTCAGCATCAGACTCCGATCTAGTTAGTAATAAATAAATAAAATAAATAAATAAAATAAATAAATAATAAATAGATAAATAAATAAATACGAAGCAAGTAAGTAAATAATGTACAGTAAATCCAGTTGAGAATAAGATTTTTTATATTTATCATATTTTATTTTTCAGGAAACTGACCATTCTTCAGATTCTTCTGATACAGATGAATACGAAGTGCCTGCAAATATTGCAAAAAGACCTCAAGTAAGAATTGCACTATGGGATCCAGCTCCGCGTTCCAAACGACCTGCACCAGTAAAGAGGAAGTGGGAAAATAAAGATCTACCTGAGCAAGAATAAGACAGATTCACTTGGCATGGCTCAAATATAGACAAAAGTCGATGGCCGCAAACACCAGATGGCATCTTCAACTTATTTTTTGATGATGACGTGATCAACATGATTGTTGAACAGAGTATAAGATATGCTGGTTCAAAAGGCAACCATTCGTTTTCAACTTCACCCCAAGAAATTAGGATCTTCCTAGCAATTCTGCTTATATATCAGGCTATAACACTGTGCCAAGACGGAGACCGTTCTGGAGCCGGGATGATGACGTAAGGAATGAGGCAATAGCTCGTACAATGCCGCGAGACAGATTCGACATATTGGTGCGATATGTACATCTTTTGCGATAACAACAATCTTGACAGAGAGGACAAGTTTAGCAAAACGTAAGACCACTGCTATGTCTGCTGAATGAGCGCTTCTTGTTATACTTATTGAAAGAGAAAAACCTTTCAATCGACGAAAGCATGATCCCGTACTATGGGCGACACGGAGCGAAACAGTTTATTCGTGGGAAACCAATTAGGTTCGGTTATAAGATGTGGGCGTTAACGACAGCACTTGGATATGTTTTACAATTTGAGCCCTATCAAGGGGCAAAAGGCCACCAAACCCATGATCCTGGCTTCCTTGGAATGGGCGGAGCAGAAGTTATGGACCTGCTTTCAGAGCTGCAGAAAGATGATGCATACCATCTGAATTTTGATAATCTATTTACTTCCCTGAAGCTCGTGGACCGGCTTACAGATATGGGAATATCTTGCACAGGAACCATCCGTGCCAACCGAATAGAAGATTGTCCTGTCAAAAATGTAAAAGACATGGGAAAAACGCAACGAGGAAACTATGATAAAAGGTATGACGCACACAAAGGTCTGATAGTGGTGAGGTGGAATGACAACAATATAGTGAATGTGGTGTCAAATTGCCATGGAGTTTAACCATTGCAACAAGCAACACGGTGGTCAAAGCAGGCAAAAGCTAGGGTGCGCCTTCCGCAGCCATACCTTATAAAGCATTACAACCAGAAAATAGGAGGTGTGGACAGGATGGATCAAAATGTTGAGGAGTATCGTATCTCTATCAGATCCAAGAAGTGGTGGTGGCCAGTGTTTATGTATTGCATTGACCTTGCGGTGCAGCAAACCTGGCACATTTACCGTGCTACTGATACAGGATTGAGGCAACCATTAGATCTGTTAGGTGTCAGACGAGCTCTGGTTACTGTGCTGCTTGCTCAGGGGCGCACACCTGCTGTCAGCCCTGGCAGACCAAGAGGTAGGATGAGGCCATTGTCAAGAAGAAAACCAGACCATATCCGACTTGATGGTAAAAATCATTACGCAGAGCCAGCAAAAGAAGTGCGCTGTTCATTGTGTGGAAAAAAATGCAGGACACAATGTTCCAAATGTAATGTTGGAGTGCACAGGAAATGCTTTGAAATGTTTCACAGTGGTTAGGTATTCATACGATCAAAGCCAAAAGACATGAACAATAATAATTCATATTCAGAATGAATTTTCAGAGTGAACACCTCTGTGCCTAATGTCTACTTTTGTAGGAAAAAGTAATAGAAAACATTGCCTGTATAAACTTTAAGATTTTTTCAAGTAAAAAGTTATCAAATAAACCAACAATAGGTTATCTGGACATATATTCTATATGTGTTTTACATATACCCATTTGCGCCTGTTGTCTACTTTTGTAGACAAAATATTAAAACACTAAAATAAAAAATACAGTACTTATATTTGAAAAATAAACGGATATATGTTATAACTATATGGTTACTATATGTTTTATACATTTCTTATATAAAAATAAAATTCCGGCACAAATGGGTTAAATGTTATGTATAAATGTTTATTCTGATTGCATCTAGGAGATAATTCAATATTCTATTGATTTACACCGGAAAAGTAAGGTTAATTTAATAATGATCAATAAGGTTTTATTAGTTTTGGAAATTCGTGTCTTTGGAGTCTGCAATCTTTACTTTATTGAGACTTGATGGTATACGGTATTTTTATATATGTAAAAAATGTTTTGAAAACCAGTTTTATCGTTGTAACAGATGTCAAATTCATGTTTAAACATTAAAATGTTTTTGAAAGAGTGTTTTCAGGGGCGTATCACGTTGAGGTCAGGATCTGACCCCCGAGCGTACTTTATTGAGACTTGATGGTAAACGGTATTTTTATATATGTAAAAAGATGTTTTGAAAATCAGTTATATCGTTGTAACATATGTCCAATTCATGTTTAAATATTAAAATATTTTAATATAGTGTTTACAGGGCCGTATCACGTTGGGGACAGGATCTGATCCCGTAGCGTCTGTGTCACAAATATTTAATATATAAGCAACCAGAATAAATGTCTGCGTCGATTAGATCTGTTCTTTAGCCACTCTTAGCAAGAAATTTCACATTTCCTGGTTAACACATTTGAATTTCGCACTACGCACATAAACAAGATGTTTAATCATGTGGTAAATTGTTTTTGTCGTTATCACGTTTTTTTCATTCATGAAGCCTATGTTCCATCTATATTGCTACCAAAATTATATCCATAAAAAGCTGTGTTGTGTTCGAAGACCCTGCAGATAAATTTAAAGAGGAGAAGATTTTTTTTTCATTTGAAACCATTGTCCGTTGTAATAGTTAGGCACTAATTAGTAAATAACAAGTAACTGTCAATTACTACCCGGTTACAGACACCCACAATATATTGTCATATACCTTGAAATGTGTTGTATACGTACATAATTTAACTTTATGTACTTACATTAATATGATTGAAAACAATGCACAATTCTAAAATGGGAAAGTAAGGAACAAATTGCATATGTTTTCTTGAGTGACATCTAGAAGACTTCTTTTAAGAAGTTTGAGTGAAATACAATTTAACAATTTCCTCATAGCTACTTCATTTTACATTAAAATATAATCTTTGATCTTGAATTGTTAAAGGAGTCTTTATAAAAGACTATTTCACATATTGGATAATGTAGTAGTAAATAAGTTACTTCAAGTCGTGTACTTTTCATCCTTTTTTGGATACGACGGTTTGACATTTTTATTGAACGTCCAACATTAATGCCATTTTGATTTGTATATGACAATATTCCCTTCTGTTTTCGTCGGTGCTAAATAACGTGATATGACAAAAAAAATCCTACTTTTAGTAATCAGTAAATTGTATCTCTTATCACACGCGTTGGTAATGCGGTGTGGCTCGAAATATCAAAAGATAACTATTTATTAGTGTTTCAAACTAAACAGATCGATAAGTATTCAAAGAAGTTAGTCGATTGGTCATTACAATTGCAACTTTTTTTTCGATATAATTAGTTTTATTAGTTTTATTAAAGGACTTTGTTTTAATGTAGTACATTCTACTTAAGCTTATTCCTTATATCTATCTTGAAACAACTGAGTCAAATGAATGGTAATGAACAAGACGCTAGAGTACAGAAAATTTGATCGATTTCTGAATTGACATAAAAAGCTTTAATCATCTTTTCTCAAGTGATTGTTGTGATATTGTCTTAGCCACTAATTGAATTCTGAAAACATCAAGTTTTATCAACATCATCATAATTTGTCAGTTTGGCACGACTTAAATGCTTGTGATGTAAAGAATTGTTTATTTTTCATTTATAGTATCTAAGTTTTTACAATTAATATAATAAAGTAACTTATGCAGATGTTTGAAACGGATACAAAATTAGGAATACGATATTCTATATCATTCATTCAAAATTCTTGTTTGATATATTATGAATATATTGATATATTATGAATATATATGAAGCCATAAATATATCAAACTCGATGTATTGCAGACGTAACATGTACTGTTCTTGTTTTTTAAGAAGAATACATAATTTTTCACTTGAAAGGTAAAAGGTATATGTCAAATTAATAGAAAGAATCATGAAATTATAATAGCAGTGAACTGTGACATGTGGTAAATGATACTACATCTATCGTTACTTTATTCAGGTAACAAGCATCTAACATTATATTACACAATACCTTAAATATTGTAATATTCATGTTTGTCATTCATATTTGCCCTTACTTAAGAAGTAAAAAAAAATATTTATTTCCTAGGTATAATGTGTCTTTAAAGACCTAGTCAAATGAACAAGACGCTACAATACAGACATTTGGATCGATATCTGGATTGACATAAAAAAACTTTAATCATCTTTTCTCAAGTGATTGTTGTGATATTGTCTTAGCCACTAATTGAATTCTGACAACATCAGGTTTTATCAACATGATCATAATTTGTCAGTTTGGCACGACTTAAATGCTTGTGATGTAAAGAGTTTTATTTTTCATTTTCAGTTTCTGAGATTTTACAATTAATGAAGCTTTATGACTGCATATAGAATGATGTGACGCATGTATAGTATTGAAGCTGATACAAAATAAGGATTGCGACATTCTATATCATTAATTCAATATTCTCGTTTGGTATAAGATGAATATATACGAATCCATAAATCTGTCAAACTCAACGCATAGCAGACGTAATATAACATTTTTGTTGTTGTTGTTTGATTGTTTATTAATATTATTTTACTACTATTATTATTATTATTATTATTATTATTGTTCTGATTATTATCATCATCATCATCATTATTATGAATTGTTAACTCCGAAATCAACGTGGCTGAAAAATACATAATTTTGCATTTGAATTGTATATGTATAATTAATAGTAAGAATCATAAAACTACACAAAAAACATCTTAATAACAATGTTATATTCACGGGGAGTTATAAATGCTACAAGGTACTTGAAAAGTTGACAATAAGTACGAATAATTTGGCGGAGTTTTTACCAGTGCCAAAAAGTAAAAAAAACTGTCATGACGGGGCATATAGAACAAAACATATGATATAATTAATCAGTTACATGTTTTAGTGCCACAAAATACTACAAATATTAAGACCAAAGCAGCATATTCGTTTCCCTCTCTATTTGAAGAAGAACATATTTTGTTATAGCATGTACGCAAAACAATTTAATCATCAATCTAGGGATATCAGCATGTCATTACCGATACCAAAATAACGTTCAATATATATGATATTTGATTATTAAAATCAGGATTATTAAAATAAGCATCGGATCGATTCAACATGTCCGCAAGATTTTTTATTTTTCTAGAAATATACATGCATATACATTAGTGTAATACTATATTAGACAAAGAATATTAATGCATATTCTACTAAAATAAATGTAAGAATAGAAACTGACAGCACTGAAATGCAGTTATTTTTTAAGACGGTTTGGAGCAAGCTTATCAACATAAGAGACTGACAACCAGGCGATACTTCTTTTTCTTTCAAGAACATCTAATTATCTCGACAGCAAAGAGGCGGCAAGTAAAATATGTCATTTGTCTGTGTATATATTGACATATTATCCTTCTATGATTGGAAGGGTATAAAGTTTGCATTGATATGTAACATTTTGTGATAACAAAAATGAATGTTTACGGACATTCTTACTAATGAATATTCTCTTTACTTTATACCCTCATTGCTTGTATCGTATTGATCAAGGAAATTAATCATTCATTGTTTACAAATGTTACCGAAAGTTTATATTATTTTTTCATTTAAATGCATGCACGAGAGTGTCGGGAGAAGAGAAAATGTAGTGGCCTAGATTTCAAAGCATTCTTTTTCCTTCAAATCGCCTTAAATTGTTGTTTGGCAAACTATCTTATAAAGGTCAAGGAGTGAAGTTCTTTTATTTTTTAAACACTTATTTCTATTATTTTTTTAATTTAATGTGTGATTTGAATAAGAGTCACATTTTATTCAAAGAAAAGTTTTAAGTGGATTGGCCATAATTTCGTTATGTTTCTTCCGGATTTCAAATATTAATCAAAACAATAGAAATGTTTTCTT